CTAAAAAAATTCATATATAAAATTTGATATACATCTATACATAGTTTTGATTTACATAGTTGAACGCACCCCCCAACCTAACACATAAGGGCAGCTATTAAAAATCAAAAAAGATCTCTGCTTGTCTTATGTTAATCACAAATTGATCATCAGAGACATGAAAAAATCCCATTTAACTTGGTTTAAAAATTGTACCGATATATACTATTATAATACATTCATAAGTACTTATAGTGATTTGAATGTTACAGAATGAAAATCTATAAGCGAAATTTAAATTTTTACCATAGCAAATTTAGTCCAGAGTAATTGATCATTCTGGTGGTTTCAATAATGAGTTGTTTTTGATATTTTATTGAATATACAGTGCAATATTATTAATCATTTTTTTTATATTTCACTATAGTACTTTGAATAATTTTTTTTATTTAAATAAAAAACCAAAAAGCTCAATGCTTAAAATATAGTTGTTAGATTAATCTTAACTATTTGCCATTCTAAAGGATCAAACCTCGCAAGAAATATTTGATTTATATAGTATTATTAGGGTTCTGCAAATACCTATGCCAGGCACCAGTGCCTTGTGCTATGCCAGTGCCAATAAGCAAAAGTGCCAGCCAATTCTAGGCCGGCATCTTTGTACTATGCCCACGAAGCTACAAAGTAGGCATTTGCAAGTGCCCATGCCAGGCACTAATGCCATTGATAGTAGAGTAATACGAATAGTAGTGGTGTATGGTTTAGTAAAGCAGTAGAGTATAATATGTTAAATTAGTAAACATATGTGTATAGTTAATGAGGTCACTAAATTAATATATTGTGTATAGTATGATAAGTATATTAGTTCTGACAAGAAATTTATCCTATTGATTATCTCTTCTAAGGATAAAAATTTTTTGAAGAAAATAATTCTTTTTATAAAACTAATAAAGAGAAAAATTTTCTCAAAAAAAATTGTTCTTTTAATAAAAACTTTAAAAATTTTGATATCAATGAGACATTCGAAAAGGATAGAGTTTCTGTGAATTCTTTTTTTCAAGAAACTTCTTGATCTTTGCCTGAAGTAGAAAATTTGGAAATTTTTCTTACTAAATTTTGACCGATAAACCTTCGATCAAATTATTTTTTTATATTATTTACTGAACTTTTGCTTAAAATATTTTTATATAGCTTATTAAACTTTCGCTTAGATTTTTTTTTATATAACTTACTTGAAAATAATCGTTAGATTTAATTGTTCTTTCACATGTAGTAAGATATCGATCCAGTTCTATAGCTTGTATTAATTCGAATAGTTCGTCAATTTCTTTATCCAGAACTTTAGTAATAGCCTTATTTGTGCTTGTTGAGTATTCGTTTATAAGTGACTTTAAAAGATTAGTTATTTGTTTAATTTAACGTTGTTGATGTAAAATTTTAGTCATGTTAAGCATAAAACAGTATTAGAAGCAGTATCGATTAACAATTTATAATAAGGAAGATCATATAAATAAGTGAATTCGAATTTTAATTAAAAAATAAATAAGAATTACGAAGTTTAATTCTAAAACCCCTTAGTGCAGCAATTTTATATATACACAATATAAAAGAACTGCAAAGAGATTTAGGGCAATGATGAATATTCTATCACAGCCAAATCTTTAAACTTAACGAATTCTCTGGATGTGAGGCTTTAAATAAATATTAACTAACTTCTATCTAATACTTTCTTGAATTTACACATTCGAAATTATTTATTACTTCAATTTTATACCTAGGCCAGTTTTTCTTAATACATGGCCATGCAAATTTTATTATAGAAATTTGTTTTTTGTTTTTGTTTACCTTTGTTTATTATTCTATTTGGTTGTTGAAATTATTTCGTTGGCTAGATATTTTTGGCTGCAAAAATTCTGTTTCATAAACAATTTTCGGTTCTTTATTTTCTAGCAAATTAAATTTTTAAGTCATAAATAAAAGTTATCCAACAAACTCATATGATCATGGTACAGTTTTTGCATATTATTTTTTAACGTTTTATGATGTAATGCCGAATATTCGAATTTTACACGAATATCAAAATTACCGGGTCAGTATTATTCGGCAAAAAAACAATATTCAGGCTATATGCAAATAAAATTTTCATAATTCAACAATTCAAGAAAATAAGCATATGCTTAAAAATGCAATTACATTCAATTACAAATTATCAATAAAATCTAAAAATTGAAAGTGCAATTATGAAACGTATTTCCCATTAAAAATTTTTCAATAAAATCTTTATTAGAATTTTTTTCAATATCCTTAGGCTTCTCATTTCGATCACCCTTCTCATGAATATTTTGATCATGCTCAGCAAGTACATGGCTTGATTCATAAGAAGCTACTTCAAGATCATCAAGTACATTTGCTAGCAATACTTGAGAATTGGCCCGTTGAATATACAAACTTGCAAGTTCGAAATTGCCATTTACTGGAGCCAATTTTTGAAGATCTTTTGGCTTTTTATAGTTATCGGGGGCTTTATTGTCATTGGGGTTATCATAGTCACTGGGGCCTTATTGTCGTCATAGTCACTGGGGGCTTCGTATGTACAAAAAAATCTACATTAGAAAAATGTATAAATTAAAACAAACAAATACAATAATTTTACCTTTTGAAACTTGCTTTAACGCATTAAAAAATCTGGTAAGATATTCATGTTGTATTACTGATTTTGGACTTTTGTATGTGGCAAGACCTTTTTGAGATTTGTGTCTTGTAATCGACATTATGACCGAATCGGAATACTCAAGCTCCTTTAACAATTGTACGGCAGTTTTTCTTTCGGAGTGGTTCGAGATATTACGGTTTTCAATTTGGATACCAGTAGTTTCACAGATATTCTTGAAATATTCTCTTAATGTTTGCTTGCCTAAACCACAAGTGTAATACTATTGTCCACTGAATTCTACTAATAAATTAAAAAACAGTTAGTAAACGAAATGTTCATTGTTAAAAATTATAATCCATATTAAAAAGATTTTAACTGAATTTAAGGTCATCGGCTTTAAATAAAAATTCATTATAGTTGTAATTGGGTGCTTAGTATAGAAGAATTCATAATTATCAACGATGCTTTTAATGTTGGGCAAGCTGATTACCTCAGCTTGTGCATCATAATCTCCAAGTCCCCGTTAATTGGTTTTGGATCTATACAGTTTAATATCAATTCCACCGTCAAACCTTTTAATGAAGTTGTTAATTTCCAAGGTACAATGTTCACCCCCACGCAATGCCAAAAGCGCTGAATTAAAAAAAAATTCTTCGTAACAAGCCTTTTGGCATATTACGCTGCATCGTGGAGTGGTCCAAGATTTGTTCAACTTTATTTAATGTCAGTGCATCAGCACCAACTCATTCACCCAGGCCTTTTGAAGAAAGGTTCTTTAGCTTTCCATTTGATAACTTGATTAAGATCAAAATATACTTTTGGATTAAGTATTTCGATAGGCTTTTGCATTACTGAGTTTTCATTAAGATGCCTCCAGATTGCTGCCATACAACTCCTAACAGAGGTTGCATGATACTCTCCACGTCCTTTTATTTCATTGCACATACGAATCTTGACAGCTGATCCTCAAGAACCATTTTTGTATCAACTTCTTCGATTTTTCCTTCGTAACCAACCTCAGAGCGAAACGATTCTAGGGCCCTAACCCACAGTTCTGTTGCCTTGTGAGTCGCTTTAACCTTTCCATTATCTCGAATTTCCTTGAGGTCATTCATAGAAGGCTCTGTATACTTATTTTGCTAATAAATGTTGTGTTAATATGTTTTTCCACATAACAAAATATGAAAAAAGAAAAAAAAATATTATTCACCTTTACCTTACTAGCTTTTTTTGTGTTTCATTTAGTTTTTGGCATTATTTTCAAGTGGGTTTTATAATTTCCACTAATCTATACTTCAAATGGGCTTTACAGTTTAAACTAGACTTTACTATCACTGATTCAAGTGGCTTTATGGCTTCAAGAGGCTTTCACGGCTTCAAGAGGCGTTATATAGACTTACAAGTTGATCGTTCGTTACAACCTTTTTGTAATTACAACTACCAGAAAATTCAACAACGCCACCTTAACTTCCACCAAGACCTTCAACTTAGAACTCCAACTACCAACTTAAACTTATGTGCATTAAAAGAAGAAAAAAAAATAATATTTTTTTTTTCGCTTAAAAAAATTCTTTTTTTCGTTATAAAAAAAAAGAGATTTAAATACTGATCTACAATCTTTTTTTCTAGGTCTAAAATTATATTTATAGGGGGGATTTGCCCGGTTGAGCCAAATTGCCGTTATTCCCAAATTTTTGCCCAATAATGTATACTTATTTCTGGATTTTTTAATCTTGTTAGATGTTTTGCATTGCATTAATACGTGTTTATAATATTCGGATTCATTTCTGTCACGAGAAGGTGATTTTCAAGGCAAAGGCCTATAATAAAGTTTGTGCACCGTAAATACAAAAATAACAAGAAACTATGTAAAGTTGCGTATTCAAAATTTATTATTCAAAAATTTTATCAAGGAGTTTAATATTTTATACAAAATATAAAGAATTAGTATTGACATGAAGGGGTTCAAATTTTTACTTATCAGGATGAGATTACTATTAGCAAAACGTAATATTTTCTACCATATTGTTGTTTCAAAATTAGAGGATGCTTTTATTCATCAATATCGGGCATTTCCAATTCATATAGTTTACTATCTATAAAATGAATTATTAAGCAATGCTTAAAATAAAGAATTATATAATTTATTAATAAAAATAAATTCATAATTACCTTTATAATCAATTTTAGAAGAAATAAAGCTACTTTTATATTGTGAAACATCATATACTTGCGTATCTTTATTTTTTATATTTTGCAATTTTTTATCAGATTCTGTTAATTCTGATAAAATATTTTCATTATTCTTCCATTCATCAAAAATGACACAAATTTCAGTTATTGTTGGTCGTTCTTTTGGTTCTATATTCCAACATTTCTTCATTAAATTAGCGTAGCAATTTGCAGTATTTTCATAAATATGCGGTCGTAAACCATTACAAACTTGTATTTGAAATTGTAATTTAGATTGTAATTTCGAATTTTGCTCAAAAGGTACGGGTTTGCCGTATAAAATTTCCCACATGATTATACCAAATGAATAAATATCTGATGCTTTGGTATATTGTTGATTCTTCAAAACTTCAGGAGCAATATATGGTAAGATTCCACAAATTTTATCAGATTTTGATTTTAAAGCAATATTGGCTGTTATCGAAAGCCCTAAATCTGCAATGTATGCACTTTTAAAGTTATCAAGTAGTATATTTCCACTATGTAAATCACGATGGATAAGATCATGAGAATGAATTATCTGAAGATCTGATGCAATACATTGCAGCAAATTTAATTTATCCTTCCAATCCATTTGTGCTATAGTACGCAGATTTTTGCGCAAACAACCTTCATCAGCATATTCCATGACGAGGATATAATCTTTAGAAGCTTTGTCTTTTGATATACCGAAACATTTTAAAAATGTTGGATCTTTAAGACCAATATCACAATATGCTTTTAACTTATTATTCAAGATATTAAAATGAAATATGCATTTAAATAATTAATTAATTAAAATGATAAATACAAATAACGTAGCTATTAAAAAAATATTTAAAAAATTACCTCTTTTATAAATTCTTCGTGATAATTATTTGATTTATGAAGTAATTTAAGTGCAAGTTTTTTGTTTATGCATTGACTTTTATCATACCAAAAAGCATAATATACAGTTGCAAATCCACCTCTACCTATTTCTCGAATACTGCTAAATTCATCATAAGAAATCCAAGATAACTGATATTTATTTTCCATCAATATTTTTTTCAAATCATCATCAATTTCTGTATTATGTATCCACTCACTTGTAGCTATCGATTATTTATAATGTTGACCAATAAATAAATTAATAAACAATATAATTATGAAAATTAATTATGATGATATAATACCTAGTGTTAAATCTTTTGCCCTAATCGTGATTTTAAATGTATGAAGTTATTAAGTAAGTATATATTATAAATACCGTTATATAATGAATATTATAATTTGTTACTTTTGTGACTATCTACCAATTCATATAATACCGAGATCAGATGTAAACGGTCTTTTTACTTAAAATCGTTTATAACTTTAAATTTCTTATTTTAGCTCTAGCCCTGACACTAAACTGATACGTTTTTTAATTTTAATTACACCTGATCTTACGGTTGAATTGCGATGCTTCATTAAACATTAGTACAAATTACTGCACAAATTTAAATTTACCTTTTGTACCAGTAATTAGCTTTATCCAGATCTCTTCCTATTCCAACTCCATTTCGATAACATTCTGCAACTTTTGACATTCCACTAGTGTTTCCCATCTCTGCTGATTTTTGGTAATATATGAATGCCTTATGTTCATCCTTTTCAATTCCATATCCATATTGATAATAAATTCCAACATTATATGTTCCGAGTACATGCCCCATCTCTGCTGATTTTTGATAATAAATGAATGCCTTATTTAAATCCTGTTCAACTCCAAATCCTTTATCATAATAATCTCCAACCATATATATTCCATAAATATTCCCCAGCTCTGCAGCTCTTTGCGCATAAATGAATGCCTTATGATCATCCTCTTCAACCCATTTACCATAATAATAACAATTTCCGAGAATTAGTTGAATTATCGGATTGACTTGATCATTTAAGCAAAATTTGATAATATCTTCTGGATTTTGCTTTTTCTTTATTAGAAATTTTTCTAATGTGTCAAGCCTTAATTTGTTATTTTTGGGTTTTAAACATTCTTCATTATACAGATTACAGATTTCATTAACAATTTCATTAAAGGAATCCTGTGAAAAATCCTGGAACTCGTTATCACCTAAATCTAATTGGGCAACATTGTTAGCTATTTGAATAATATCTGATGAATTATTGCCTATTTTTGGTTTCGTTTTGAATATTTGACATATTGCCGCAAGAAAGGATGTGCTCAAAAACATTAAATTTATTGAAGAAATATGTACTACGTTGCGCAATGTTCATTGAGATGCGTGTTGCCGCGCATATTGTAACATTTACAACAAATTTGTACGTTGTAAGGGGCTCCTGTGGCCCCCTAATTTATTTTCTTTCCTATTTTTATCTTTCCTTACTATTTTTATACTTTTGTACCGGTTATAACATATATATTTACGGGCTTAGTAGCCCTAGACAATATAGTAATTACGTAGATTACCTATTTTGGTATTGTCACGAATTTCGTGACGTAGATGTTGAGGCTTCGAAAATTATATTTGTTTATTTGATTTTCTATTTTATTTTTATTTGTTTGTTTCTTTAAAATTACATCATAAGCGTCGGAAGTTCAGGGAATTAATGATTGTAAACGAAATTGTATGCAAGATTGTATGTAGAATTGTATGCAGAATTATAAACAAGATAGTAAGCTACCTTGTAACGGAAATTGTAAGGGTTTTTACAATCTGGAAGTCTACATAGCCCGTTTAATTAGTAAAGAATCAAGGTAGAAATTAAGAAGCAATATT